TGTGACTTGGCAGAAGGGTGTGGAAGGAATGACGAACAGTTTAGATGTTGGTGCAGTCCGCCTTCCGGTATTCTTCGTGTCCCCGTTGCGCTCGACTGGTTATGTTGCAAGTACTGACGGCCGATTGACGTCAGTAGTCTTTGTGCTGCCAGTTTCCTTTCATATTGTTTGATTAAGCGGTTGGAATCCTTGTGATAGGCTAGCAACTGATCCCCTTATTAACCACTATTTCAAAGCTTTAAATTTAATTAAGTAAGCTTTGTAGCCGTACGGAAATAAAGTTTCAGTGTCAACACTGATGTTGCTGTCTTTGGTGATGATGACCCGTGACCTTGTCGTGGCTTGTCGAGATGTTGCAAGATATGGTGCAATGGCATCATCGCTGTCGGTTTCCACCTATGTTGTGGGGTGGGCATTTGGCGGTGTACTTCTGGTAGAGTAACACAAAGTCTTTTCCAATTTATCTTTTTATTCTTTCCATCTCGCGGCGAAACAGGTTTTATGTAAAAACTAGCGTCTATGATTTTGATACTGATGGTGATGATGAGCACTCAACTGCAACGCACCTCGTGTCAGTAGTCTTCTGATTGTCGGTCCCGTCATGAAGAGACTGGACCTTACCGTGGTGTGACGGTTTTTGCACCTCCGCAATCCATTGAGCTATGTTGAGGAGTGTCCCCGCGACACTCACAGAGTCTCTCATAGCAGGTTGGTCAGTGGTTAGTGGTCTGACAAACGCAGTCTCCTGGCTTTCCAGGTTGGGGGTTGGAACATGTGGCGACTTGTTCCGTAGAAATGGTAATGCATTTGCATTCCCCGTCAAACACCGCTGCCTTGCGGCTAGGCTTTTGAGCCGAACACTTTGGCTGAGGATCCTAATCGTCCTCCTGTCTAAGTGTGGACGCCCTGACAATATCTCAGCCCTCGTACAACCATGGCATTTACAGATAACGCTCTTATGCCACATCGGCCGTTGCGTGGTGCCATCAGCCGGGTCTCCTTACTCACTGTGTACAGCATGGCAGGAAAGCGAAAACATGCTAGTGCTCACGCCTCCCTTCTGCTTTCACATACTTTTTCTTCCACATCTCACCCTGTTAATAACTCTCCTCTTGTGCGCCCAGCACTTAGGACTGATAAACTCCGTTCGCCATGCATCAGTTTTGCGCAACATCTGCTCGTCAGACATCCACAGACATCCTCAGCTATCTCCAGGTCAATCTTCAAGCCTGGGTACCCAGCCTACCTGGCCGAGTTCAATGTCCGCACTCTGAAGCAAGCAGGACAACAAGCTGCTCTTGCACTCACACTGGACTCGCTTGGCATTGATGCGTGCTGTGTCTCGGAAACGAGATTGAGCTAACTGCTTCGTCAGTCTTCACTAGCTTCCGGCTGCGCACCTCTAGTGATCCAGAAACTGCTGCGGTGGGGTGTGCAGGGGTCGGTATCGTGCTAAATCTTCGAGCGGAAGTGTCGTTATTTGACTATATACCTGTTGCTGGTCGCCTGTGTGCGGTTCGTCTGGAAACGTTTGTGAAGGAGTCTCACAAGCAAGAAGTTGATCGTTGTCTGTTTGTCGTGTCCGCTTACATCACAACTGACTAGTTCCGACCCCATCAAAGATAATTTTTACGACACCCTGAATACACTGCTGCGGCGAGCTAAAAGCTCCGATATCGTGGTGGTTGCCGGAGATATGAATTTACAAGTGGACAGGCTTAGCACATCTGTGGCTCAATTAGTAGGTTGACATGGATTGGACTCGGTACTTAAGGACAGTAGTGAACGATTGCTTCAGCTGCGTTCAAATCGCGGACTGTTTTTATGCAGTATCAACTTCCAAAATAGCCGAAGTCGTCTGGCCACATGGTGTCTTCCAACGACAGGCAGGTCACAAACTCAAATCGATCACGTCGTCGTTAGCTACCGATGGCGCGGATCAATAACTGACTGTCGGTCGTTTTGGAACCCCTTTGTGGACTCTGACCGTGCGCTTGTCCAGAGTCGCTTCTCCCTCCGTTTACCAGGGCCGCATAAGGCGCGAACAAATTGCTTGGCAATTGAAAGACTGGCAGATCTGGATGTTGGCCGAACTTACCAAAATCGTCTTCTAGAGTCTCTTCCAAATGCTCTACCATCAGATGTGAATTCATACTGGGACAAGATTGCTACCTCTTTGCATAGTGCTGAGAATTTCGCCTGTGGCACGGTACAACCAGGTGCACGCAAGCACCGGATGGTGCCCATTCTTAAAAAGTGGGCACGTAGAGATCAGCTTGACCCAGGTCGTAATGAGACTGTTGGCGTCAACTGTGCTTCGTCGCCTTACGGTGGCTCGTGAGATACTGACTCGAGAGTAGCAAGCGGGATCCCGGCCTGTTAGGGGTTGCATTGATCAAGTATTCACACTCCGTCAGGTGCTAGGACAACGCCATACGTATAAGCGACCCACAGTCTTAGTATTCCTGGGTTTCCGAAGTGCATTCGACTCGGTTCATCGGTCTGTTCTTCTCGACCCGCTTGCCCACCAAGGAATGCCTCGGTAGTTTGTAAACATTATACGTTCTTTGTATTCTCAGACTTCTGGGCGTATGAGAGTATACGGAGAGCTCTCCGAAAGCCTCCGTATACAAAGCAGTGCCTGTCAGGGATGCCCATTCCATTCCTTTTTAACTTCTTTATCGATGAAATAATGAGACGAACGCTGGAGGGTCTCCAAAACCCTGGTGTTCAGATAGCCTGTGAAGAAAACTGTCGGTCTGTAGTACGCAGATGACATCGTTCTCATCTTCGAAGAGGAGAAGGAACAGGTGTTCTTGGATGAACTGACCGAATTCATCCCCGTCTTTTTGTGTGCACTTTGCACTCATAGGATGTAGGGTCGTGCTCGTGGACGTACAGTCACTGAACACGCCACTTACAATCCGAGGACAGGCACTCGAAGTTGTGGAGCGTTTTACGTATCTTGGAAGTTGTATTAGTTCTGATTGTAGTGTGACAGATGGGGTGAAGGCACGAATCTGTATGGCTCGGGTCACGTTTGCTAATTTGAGGCACCTATGGCGTCAGAGTGGTGTATTCCTGAATCCCATGAGACGTGTGTATCAAGCTACAGTGCGGGGTTGGCGAATGTGCACTCATTTGCAAACTAATTTGGTTTTTCGGGAGACTCACCTGGAACCCAGTTAAACCTCTCGTTTGTGATGTTTTCAGGCAACTGAATGTGCTGCACTAGGCCGCCTCATGTTTCAGTCGCTACGATATTCGAGATATCGTGATACATGCATATATTTGTAATGTACTACTCATAAGGTTGCTGAAAATCCGTCGACAGCCCACGACCGGTTTCGCCCTTTTTGGGGCTGATCAGGTAGGCGCAGTCCCCGGGTTTCCGTTAACCTTATGTTCTGCTTGAAACCGAAACATCACAAACGAGTGGTTCAGCTGGGTTCCAGGCGAGTCTCGAAATTAGTTTGCAATTGAGTGTATATTCGCTAATTTCGTGCAATTTGGTTTCAAGCAGAACATAAAGTTAATGGAAACCCGGGGACTGCGCCTACCTGATGAGCCTCAAAAAGGGTGAAACCTGTCGTGGGCTGTCGACAGATTTTCAGCAACCTTATGAGTAGTACATTACAAATATATACAGCGCGGACTGTTTTGTTGTATGGCTGTGAGACTTGGCCTGTTCGAGCAGCGGAACTGGGACGTCTTCAGGTGTTCGATAATCGTTATCTCAAAACCACAGATCGTGTGGGTTGGTGTCGGCTTATTCGTAACGAGGCAATTATAAAACGAGTTATGGGTTGTGCAACGGGTACTTCCGTTGAAGAATGTATCCAGCACCAAAAGCTGCGTTGGTTGGGGCATGTGTTGCGTTTGCCTAGCCATAATTTGCCGAAGAGAATGCTGTTTTCTATGCTCAATTCAGAGTAGCGTTAGCAGAGAGGTCGTCAACCCTTGACTGGGCAGAGGGGTGTGAAGGAGATTGAGAAACGCTTGGGTGCTGTCGGTGCTACTCGCCTTCCAGGATGGGGACCGCGTGATCGCCACTGCGTCTGGTTGGAGACACCAGAAGATATGGATGCCAACCGACGTCAGTGGCGTTCTTGTTGTCACTTTCTATCCAGATTGCCTGAGTGAGTGTGTGGAGGTGTAGGCACCTCGGAATGATTGTAGTGAGCTAGCACTAGGTTCCTTCCCTATCCACCTTTATTCTTTACAATAAGGCTTTCAAATAAACCATGGCTGTACGTCAGTGAAGTATCGGTGTTACGTTGTCGATGATGATGGTGTCGCTTTCATAGCAGTTCACCTGCTGTTTACTGTCTGTAGTGGTCAAATATGGTTCCTCGATAATGTACAGCGGTCGAAGGTGCTTTCATTATATGTGGTTAGAGCGCGAATTTACTGACCGCAAGTGGTTCGAACCCGACCTCTGCCTCTCGACTTCCCCTGTCCAGGCTTGGGCAACCTGGCAGTATCCAAGCCCTCGTGCTTCCTGCGGGTGGCATGGTAGCTAGGCAACCAAAGGGTGCTACAGCTGAACGATTTTTTATGTCACTGTTCACCTCATTTAGAAGTTGATAGTAGGATGTAATGCCGTAGCTCGAGAAATCAAGTGGCGAGCTTCTGACCACTCACCGGTAATACTCACCTACTTCTGTCTTGACTGGCAGCATTTAGGTTCGTTTGCTTTTTCAGTATCCCACGGCAGTTATGCTCCAAAGGACGCCATATTCTAGGTTACCCACTGGATGGCCTCACCGGCTTCCTTGTGTAGGTGAGATTTCAAAACGTCTCTTTTGTATGAGCATCGTTCCTGTAGAAGAGACCACCTAAATATCGTTCGTATTTCAGTGAGTGCTGTTCTTTATGCGATTGAACACTGACAAAGATACGAATAATATGTCTCTTTATGTTGCAGATGTGGTGAGCGCTGACGCATCAATTCATACGATTTATCCTTTTGCGAGGTTTTGGTGGTAGAAAGTATCAAGGGCAAACGCAATGGTCGCTCCCTGCCCTAAAAAGCTCTCTGAGCTCAACGCGCTGATCTGGGGCGGTGCTGATCTTAATGAGGACATTTTTCAGAGGTGGTGTCAAGGTGGGTTCGATGCCTCACGTAAGTATTTGCGGTTTCAGGATTTTACTTTAGTCCGACTGAGCCGACCGCTTTAATGCAAAATGGCGGAGGGCCATGTGCTGTCTTGGCACCTGTACAAGCTGTGATACTACGAAATATGTTGTTATCAGGGAGGTTTTCCACAGCAGCTAGTGTTGAAGGTGAATTTTCGTGGTTTGTTCTGATTTATGTTTTAGGAGTTGATAGTTCAGAATTATTGATCTCGGCTATTTTGGACATTATGACACTCGTCAAACCCAACACGGAAAAGCAGTGGACTTGGGTTCATTGGTCCAATCAGAATGGAGAAGTTTGTACTGTTGAATCAGCGCTAACTCCTTCGTTGTTTTTTGAAGGATTGAGGTAAGCTTTTTAAACCGTAACACTGGCCATATGCCATTACGTAACTTTGTGCTAAGTCTGGAGATTTCTCATTTGTTCCAAACAGCCTATTGTGATCGCTGGCTACATATTTTGATAAATCTGGTACCCCTGTAGGTGTTATATGCGAGTCTATGGAGCAGTAAAGTGGTTCGAGCCCGACCTCTGCCTCTCGACTTCCCCTGTCTAGGCTTGGGCAACCTGACAGTATCTCAGCCCTCATGCCTCCTTCGGGTTGCTTGTCAGCTAGGCACCGAAAGGGTGTTACAGCTGAACGATTTATTTTTTTATTTTTAAACACGAACAGCAGTGGGGGTCATATTGGTTGAAACGATACTGACGGGATATTTGATAGTAATGTAGTAGACTAAAGGGTTTTGTGCAGGATTAGGGTTATGTCTGCTCAAAATCCGTATCATAGCTGCTCCTGAAGGGTAAAACTGTTTTATGGATAACTACACTCTTGTGCTGTACGCGAGCGACGAGCTTCAAACTGAGCACTCCAAATCCAGAGCTTCGCTGCTATAACATACAACAACGGAAATATGCCACCAACTTATTCGACTGAGGAGTCTCGTCGATCCTTCAGCTACTAGTGGAGTGGAGACGTTCATCAACCGAATCAGTGCCACTTAGTGACGCTGTTTGTCTAGGTCATCTTCGTGGTATAAGGTTGGTAGTTGCCAGCCATCATGCGTTCGTCAAGTGTATGAAGCCCCATCATTGCCATCTCAATCCGGATACTTCCTACCCGGGAAAAAGTTTAGGGAGCAACAGTCATTTCGGATCACACTATATGTTGGGGATACCGACTCCTTGCTAAATTAGCCCGCTTATCAGCAAATTGCGCAATGAAACATGAGACTTATGGACCGACTGAACAGCTCAGTTGTCATCTGGTGAGACTATCTCGAGGATAGCACATTATTAGTCCTTTGAGGTGTATTCTGGTGTATTTTGACTGGAGGTCTCTCTAAAGAGTGACAAACACGCTAGCACTCATGCCAAAGTTTTCTTGTTAGAAACTTGGCTAATCGTACATTAATCTGTATGAAGCCGATTTGATGACACCAGCGTGGACATTACATCGCCTAGTTGCAATGCAAGATGGTTACCATTGTGAACAGATTAGCACTTCCTGCAGTCCACTGGGTACTTGCGAACGTGACTCTGGCTCAGTGGTTTAGGGAATCCACTTGATGACGAGAACCAGCACGTGTTTCCTTTAAGATGTTGAGTTTATCCAAATTTCAACCACCCGTTGTCACTGCTGTTGCTGTGCTGACTAGTGATGTTCGTCGTCGAATCAACCTTCCAAAATACCTTTTCAAACCCCGAAAATGCCAATGGGCCATTGTCGTCGAATGAACCTTCAAACCCCGAAAATGCCAATGGGCCATTCAGCAACTGGTGAACTGAAAACGAGTTGCTTGTTATATCATTCTCACCTGGTGATTTACTTTGCTTCTTCCCTTCACTGAGGGCCTGGCGTTACACCAGGTAACGGTTGCCTTTGAATTACGACCACTAGGACTTCGTATCTTTCACCTGTGAAGAACACGATCACAAAAAATGCGAGCGATAAATGTGAAAAATATACATGGGAAACATTAGAAATAAAATACAGAAGCGTCCCGTTGGAGGACGCGGCATCCATAGTTTTCCAATCCGACGGACTGGTCCTCAACATACGTAGGAGTGTTTGACATGGAAACACATGTAAAGACCAACGACTGAAGGAACGACAAATAGTGCTTAATGCCCCTTCAACCGAACTAGGTGCTAGCACAGTCAAGACTTGCGCACCAGGCTCAAGATTTTCGTCATACAGGGTCAAATATGGGTAAACACTCAACGCCATGTATCACGCATATAAGTGTCGTTGATATGTAGAGTCCAAAATGATGGACGAATATGTCATTAAATATGACCTTAGTTACCTTGACTACCCTGGGTAGTTCCAATTGTTGGTGTTGGCAGGTTGCACCGGACCTCGATACCGCGGACAAATAGCCGGGGAGGCACGCGTTCTTGAAACACAAGCTGTCGACTTGAGGTAGCTGACGCCACCAACTCACAAACGACTACCATCAACACCGTTGCGCAAACCATCTCCCCAAGCAGCTACCATTTCTTCTTTGGTATTCACGCGCACACGTTGGACTCGGATCGGGAGAATGACATCCCGAACATGATCACCAAGCCCATCGCGTAGTGCTCGGCACTGACTAGACAGAAGCTTCTTCGTACGTGCTTTCGAGGTGGTTGAACTGAGGCTTGGGATACCGAGTCTTCCTTCTTTCTTACCGGTGTGGATATAGCTGATTAGCATGTCCTTCGGTAGACGTAGCCAGCCATGAATAGACTACCTGATGTAATTGTCCAACGTTTTTAGGACGTTTCGGGGGACTTGGTCGAGCACGAGCGAATATGTCATTTCCTTGTGATTTCCATTCTTTGACAGAACTTCAACGGGGCATGCGTCACCTCATTGAGCAGCTGCTGTTGGTGGTTACAGACCCCCTCCCCCTGAAAGTAAAGGAGTGTTGTGTTTGACGTGGAGTGGAGCGCGGCGACAATCAGAGTAAGAAAAGACCGAAGGTCCAGAAGTTAGGCTTTATCCAAAACTTTGATACTGCTAGATAAAACGAGAAAACAATGAATTATGAAACGCTTCGAGAAAACAGCTAATATTCGACATTCAAATACGACATCCAATGTACGATATTCGGCTTGGATAAATGTCCACAGGAGTTCACTTTGTAATTGATTAATGTCAGATCTCTTTGTTGCGCAAGAAATACGGCCATGTCCGCTGCTGCACAGTCAACGGGTATTCACGGCTATTCGAAATGTTAGTTTTCGGAAGCAGAGGAGTCAGATGGTTCCGGCTTAATGAACGAATCAGTATGGGGCTGCGACTGTTGATTTTCCGATACTAGAGCACATTCAAAATCTTCGGAAGGCACCAGGTGATGCAAGTAGACCCTTCTTCTACGTCCTTTAGGGTGTCGGACATATGCGCACTAAGGGTTACACTCTAGGAGCTCAACCTCTTCGATTACGGGGTCGTACTTTGAAGATCATGTATTTTGTTGTATCAGAACTGATCCCGGCGAAGCCGGCAGTGATTTACCGATTGCAGATTTTCGGTTGTGGAGTAGCATTGGTGGCGGTGCACAACAAAGAACAAACCGAATGGAGCGTGTTTTGTTAGACGGTTTCGTAATGATTGATTTGAAGACGTTTTGACCGTAATGAAGACATAATAGCTTCCACAAAGTTCCATTTAATCGTTCCATCTGATCGTTTCCCCTCGGGTTGTATGGAGTGGTCCGTCTTCTTGAGGAAATAAATGATGAATAAATAATCCGAATGCATGAAACTAGTCAGGCTAAGTGTAGTAGAGTGGCACAAGATATGCCATCACCAAAGACGAACTTTTATCTGGACACGGACAGGTGAAAGGGAAACGGGAATACTCGTCTATGGCCGTCAGCGAATATTTATTTCGCTTCATCGAAGGTAGTACTCCTTTGAAGTCAATGCCTAAACGTTCAGACGTTTGAGTGTGTGCACCACCAGATGGCTTGAAGAAACCTTATCAACTCTGGACACAAATGATATTGCTCAATGACAAGTGGGATGTCCTCTAGGAAAAGTGAAAGGTCCTTGGCACGAACGAGACGCATCATCCTTATTGCGTGTATGCGTTTCAGATCCAGCTGAGATGATGTGTTCGCACAGACACTCCGAGACAGCGTGTTGGCGACTTTGCTTTCGGTGCCCGGTCTATAGGTTACATCAAAAGAAAAAGGCGACATCTCCATCCGCCATCGTTGGATTTTGTCGTTTTTTTCCTTTTTGTTGTGTTGAATACATGAACGCAACGGAACGCTGATCGGTTACAATCTTGAAATGGGTCCCACACAGGTAATGTTCCCATTTACGCACTGCTTCGACAATTGCACACGCTTTTTCAATAGTGGTGTGATGTTTTTCGCTAGCAGACAATGTACGTGAAATGAATGCAACCGGTCCGCCATCCTGGTGGAGTGTAGCGGAAATCGCAACATCAGATCATCAGTTTTATAATCTTGGAGGTGTGCTCTGACAGACAGTGAACGTAAACTCTTGTTTGGGACTTTCAATCGCTCTTATGACAGACTGAGGGACCGTAAAGGTTGAATTGTGATTGGTTGGGTAGATTTCATCAGAGGAATGGCTCATCCAACGAACAAGCGAGCTACACGTTGCTGAGACTTCATATGCTCAGGAGTGGACAGTTCTTGCAAGACGGTGAAACTTTCAGGGTCTGGTTGGTCTTCCATGATCTCATAGCCAGGGAGTCTGAGTTTAGTGGTGGAAATTTTGCTTTTATCGCGACTTAACTGGTGGCCGTACTTTTGTGTTAGGGCGAGAACACGCTGGCGATGTCGATCGTGTTCTTCTTGGCGCTTTGCACAAACGGTGACATTATCCACATGGGTCTATGTCCTGTAAGTTTTTCAGCGCGTATTTTGTCATCCATCACCCTCTGAAAGCACGCCACTCCATTCGTTACCCCGAACGGTATTCGGCGGAACTAATATTATTGCAAGCCTCAGAGGCCATGTCAATTTCCTTAATGGGTATTTGCCGATACGCACTTTCAAGGTCAAGCATCCTTAACATATGATACGTGGCTGTTTTGCTACTCATATCCTCAATTCTGGGTGTCAAGTTGTGTAAATTGGTTTATAGTCTGACCGTAGTCAACAACCGTTCTCTTCTGTCGCCCACTTATCGTGACGAGTACTTGCGCTCTGTATGGAAACTTTGAGGTTTCAATGATTTGTTGATCGAGTAAACGCTTTACTTCAGAAGCAACGAAAACCTCGTTGTCTTGAGTTTATGGCAATTGGCTTACACCTTGAATCAACCAAACTGAGAGTTTCTATTGTGGCAGCGATTAGACCACAAAGGGAGAAAGAAGGTTTATCACCGTTGAAGATTTTCAGGGATTTATAATGTTTAAGAAAATTATGTCCAAGTTGGATATTCGTTTAGAGATCGCCTAGAGATACTCAAAACTCGAAAGAGGGGTACATGTTCTCTCTATGTTACAATCTTTGAAAACCATGTCTCAGAGTGGAACTTTTGTGCTGGATAGATGCCAGTGTGATCTCAGATGAAGACTAGTGTGGGCCATCGATTAGACCCAAAGGGAGAAAGAAGGTTTATCACCGTTGAAGATTTTCAGGGATTTATAATGTTTAAGAAAATTATGTCCAAGTTGGATATTCGTTTAGAGATCGCCTAGAGATACTCAAAACTCGAAAGAGGGGTACATGTTCTCTCTATGTTACAATCTTTGAAAACCATGTCTCAGAGTGGAACTTTTGTGCTGGATAGATGCCAGTGTGATCTCAGATGAAGACTAGTGTGGGCCATTGATTACGACGGACTCCTTTTTTGTAATCTAACTTTTTTGGACTACCAGCACGAACAGGAGCTCGAATTGGAACGCATTGGATATCACGTTGGTGACTATTTCTTTGAGACGCTCGAGGGCCGCAGCACTGATGCCAGATTTTGCACTTCTTTGAATTTATCTGGGGAAAACAAAATTCAGATAATGAGGGATAATCACTCTTCATACATCTATTCAAAAGGTATACGGAACGGTTGGGTGACGGGGTTCGAAGAATGGTTTCAAAATGTCCATTTCGCGGATGCCATAGGTAGATAAATTTTTTCAGTCCATATACGTTCACAAGTCAGCTGAAGTTGGGAGATGATGCTGGGCACCTCCATTGGTCTTACTCCGATGTGATGCTCGGATGCGTTTATCACGTTGCGGTCGTATGATGTATGTACCCTGTTCTTGATCATTTTCCTTAGCAACAGGAAGTGTCCACCATGGACTGGGGGATTTGCTATGGTTGTATGACAATTAGGCATCAGTATTTATTATCGCCCGCTGCTGTCGATGGTGAAACGTGAAAATTGAGAAAGCCAATTAAACTGGGTAGTATTTGAAAGGTGTTAGAGTGATGGAGGGGCCATATTTGAGGGCAACTGTAGTATATTGTTCGCCAGTACTAAGGAAAACTGTACGTGTGTATTTCTAATACGAAGGCAATTGTGGATATGTGTACCGAGTGCGGAAACACCAAGTACTTCGGAAGTTCGCCAAAGTAAACGTGTCTCTGAGTTGCTTGCAATGTGTGTAGCTAGGTTGCTTACCTTTGTCTACTCACAGTAAAAAAATCGTCCAGCTGTAGCACCCTTTCGGTGCCTAGCTGCCATGCCACACGAAGGAGGTACGAGGGCTGGGATACTGCCAGGTCGCTCAAGCCTAGACAGGAGAAGTCGAGTGGCAGAGGTCGGGTTCGAAGCACGGACCTTGCGGTCAGTAAATTCGCTCTCTAACTACTTGGTCCATCTCGCCCAGTCAACACACAATCTAATCCGTTGAAAAACAGGGCCGGGAGACGTGTGTAGAGGATAATAGCCAAACCATTGCGAGGTGTCGAACGACCGTAGGTAATCAGTGCAGGTGCGAGAATCGGCAGTAGTTACCGTTTGAGATGAACTATGCCAAGCAAATATGAATAGTGACTTGTTTCCATGCCAACCTTGTACGAGGAAGTTCTTTTCTCAGTATCATTAACAGTCGAGGTCATTAGCTAGGATAGTTTTGTAGACTGCTTAAGCCTTCTGGCATGTTTTACTATTTGAAATCTTTCTTCAGATTCACTTTTTTCTTAGAGTTCCAGCCAAAGTTGACATTATGGGCTTATTTATCACCAGCAGGTTAACAGCTACTGAAATGTTTGTAGAAGCCACCGTGGTGGTTCATAGGCACACTATTGTATTCAGTATTGTAATTGGATTTAAAAAAGTTTGAATGGTCAACATCCACGTAGTTTTCAGCCCTGTAGAAGAAGCTTCGGGAGCCCCTTGTGGAAATTTGGTCTGAAAGTACGGGTGACAGCCCCGTCACGTAGCGTAAACTTCATGTGGGGTAGAAGGAGGCAGAAATACTTGAGACTAAGCGGTTACGCTGTCCAGGTGTCGAAAGTGTTGAGCGGAATACCACGCAGGTACCGCTTTACCGCTGGCATTTAGGCGCTGCTAAGTCTGAGAAGCCTACCTCGTACAGTATTGGCCAAAAGTTCGGGCTGCTTTCCGGTCCGGCGTCAAGGCGAGCTCCGATTGGTCGAGAGTCTGAACCCAACAGCCAATCATGGCCTAGTATTCACCCGATGCCGGTTGCCATTGGCGCACCCAGAGGGTGCCAGAATCTCCAGAATGTTGTCGCAGCACACCCTCTATATACAACGAGTTGTATACGTGTTTTCGACCTGGTTTTTGGCGTTAATGTACGTTGTGCACCTTTGGTGATTGTTTTTGACTGGAATACTACCTTGTAAGGTACGTACCGAGAACTAAGCTGGGGAAAATAGTTTTACTAAAAGAAGACAGCAACACTTTCCTGTTTTAGACTCTAACTTTATTATTAGATCAGTGGACCTGGTCAGTAAACAGCTTTGATGTCAGCGAAGCATTTTTGTTGGCTCTGTATTCAGTGTCACTCTCTTGCTTCTGATCCCAATCATGGAGCTTTGCATTATTTCATCGTATTTTTGTTGACCTCTTCACCGAGCTTGGCGACTGGTTCGTAAACGTTTCGTTACCACTCAAGAAAACATAATCACACACTGTGTGCAACACCACAAATGTAGCAGTGGAAGCACAATTCCATTGGAAAAGTGCGGGCACGCCATACGAAACCTCCTACCACGGTTATAGCTAACGAGAATGACCTGACAACTCGTCGGAGATGCTCACAAATGCGAGCTGTTTTCTTAGTTTTTTTCCTGCATCCCAATGTGCGCATGTGCACTCCACATGTGACGTTGGGTTAGACAGCTCGATTTGGCTGCATTGTAGATGTTAGTCGATCCTCATTAGTCCGAGGGCATACGTCACAGACCAGTTTCACGTCAAAAGCATATTAGGTAACAAGGTAGAAGAGAGTATTTCTGGAACGGAAGCGTCGGCTGAATTAGAGAAAGGGTCCTCTCACAAATGGAGCTGTTTTCTTAGTTTTTTTCCTGCATCCCAATGTGCGCATGTGCACTCCACATGTGACGTTGGGTTAGACAGCTCGATTTGGCTGCATTGTAGATGTTAGTCGATCCTCATTAGTCCGAGGGCATACGTCACAGACCAGTTTCACGTCAAAAGCATATTAGGTAACAAGGTAGAAGAGAGTATTTCTGGAACGGAAGCGTCGGCTGAATTAGAGAAAGGGTCCTCTTAAGGGGGTACTGTAGTAGAACGTCTTGCATGTACGGTTATCTTTTTTGATCCGGATTCGCGTCCGGCAAAACAGCTCAATGACTCCGTCTTTCAGATTGCTCAAGTGACAAAGTGTGATTCATTGATGTATCTCAGTTGCACGGGTGTGAAGTATCGATCATCCCGAGCATCTTAATAGGTCAAAATGGGAAGGTACCCGATTACTTGTTGCTATCAAGTAGAAAGGCCGCGGAAGACGACTCTCATTAGTCACCGTCTAAAAGAAAACACACTGAGGGGATGCTTTAGCGTGTATTTTGGTTTGGTGTGGTCGGCCGCCATCATTTTAAACCACCGAGTTTAACTGATAGTTTGTTTCGTAAACCGTTGCTTTGTCACAGACTCCCTTTTTGCATGTAGGACGCAAATCTTACGATTATCATCCTTAGGCCATTTTATCTACGAGCCATTGTTGCTTTGGTAAAGCACTGCATATGTGCCAGCTTGTTTTGATGTGAGCCCAGTATGACTGTCAGCACTGTGTACCTCCGTCCGAGTGCATGTCTATTTCTTCAATTGTCCAGCTTCTCCGTTGTAGGTCCATATCAGCGTCGTCCCTGGATGAACTTCATGGACTGATTATGTCACTGGCACCGGAACTGCAGTCACCTTTTGCCGTACTATGCTTCCTGTATTCTATCCTATTCACTCATGGTCTTTCGGCTCTTCGGAAAGGAATGGCGGATGAAACTGATACGCTAATAGATCCGGTTCATGGTCACGCTAGCCAGTGCCTTATCAATCTACTCATTTGTGGACAAACAACGCCATATTTGTTTGACGGGGAAAGAACCATTTCCGGGATTAGTAAGCTTCTCCGTTATTATGTAAGGTATCTTCTCCGTTGCTGTGACCTGTTTACGGAACTGCATTTGTTCACTCAATCTCTGTTGGCAATAGGGCTTCTGATCTACCTAATTATCCCGGGACTTCGTATGTGCTTTCGTTCGCAGTGCTGCGCACCAACTTAGATGTGTTCGTCATCATAGCAAATGAATGCTTGTTGGTCTACTTACACTTAATCTTACAATAAAATGTGCTTCAGCGGCTTATTGTTAGTGTATTCGTTCTACTATCTATATTTCACCTCTGTGGATCATAAGCGCTTCTCATTCACCGACGAATTCGCCCGTACAGCAGTTATAAGGTTCTATGCAAAGGCAGTATAGCTCACCACCATCCCTCCTTTCCAAGAGTATTCATTACTTTCGGTTGTATGCTGTATGTGAGATGTAGGAAAGTGGCTAATAGCCATTTATGGATCAAGTGTTTCTGTCAATTGAATCTGAATCGTGACTGGTATTAAAGCCATGGCTTTTAACCTTTTTTGGGACTTTGATTGGCCGCGATGCAACGTGAAATGACACCCGGCAGTGTTACTGTTTTGATGCACCGCCACTGTACAACAACAGATCCTCTAAGACGACTGGAACAACAAAACAAGACAAGAGCAGATTGGAATCCCTCGGTCGCGGCTTGATTCCTGAAGTAACTCGGAATCGATGGCTGTGTAATGTTGTTTTCGTAACTATTGTTCATTAGCTGAAATTCGTAGAGCTCACTTAGATTGATCATCGTAACTAGCGCGTTGAGCAACAGTTGGTCGAAAATTGCTGCGAGTGTGCACACTTGTGTCACAAATTCGCCACTGGTGCATTGTTACTTAATGACCAATCGAGTTGGAAGCATCACGTGTTTTTAGCCACAATTAATTTCTCGCTACTAAGAAGCTTATTTCGGTTACTGACTAACATCGGTGTCAAATTTAGTTAAAATTAATTTATACTGGCATTACTCATCACGTGGTTAATTGTGAAGTAACCTGCTTAGAGCTGACTAGTCATCAGTCACCTGTTATCCGATTGAGTTCCGAATACCTGTTATTTTAGGAAACCAGAGAATGACAAAAGGGGGTGATATTTCGCTTTGAGCGGCGCTTCCGGTCTCCGAATACGCGGGTGCCGTTGTTTAAGTGTCGAATGGGACAAGATGGCAGCAACACCACACAAGGACACTGGTGCTTCATTGACGTACAACGATGTCAACTTCTTTGAGTAAGGCCTCATAATGGAAAGAAGGAAAATGGGTGCACGAGAGTCACCCAGGTCTAGCCTACCAATAGCGTCCGAGGTGCCTACGCCTCCAGTACTCAGACCATCTGGATAGAAACTGACAAGATAGATGCCACTGACGTCGATTTATCATCATATCGTCTGGTGTCTCTAGCCAAGCACAGGGACGGACACGTGAACTTTACCCTGAAAGGTGAACGTCACCCAACAGCAACCAAACGCTTCGCGACATCCTTCATCACCTTCTTCCATGTCAAATTCTACCCACCTCTAGGTTTTTACCACTCCGAGTTTGGCACGGGAAACAGTGCTCGCCTTGGCAGGTACTAATTCGGCATGCGTAACACATGGCCCAACTACCTTAGCTTTGTTTTGATGAGGTATCGTTTGCCCCACCAAAACCCTCCTGGTGGCCACGTCGTCGCAAATTCCTTGGTTCCAGGCGACTTCAGCCATAGTTCTTGGACATTGACGAAGAAAGACCTGAACATGTCTCATATCCTCCGTCCGAACTAGGCAGATCTTGCGGCCGTATAGCAATATATCCCGCACTGTAGTCTGATGTATACGTCCTTTGAGACTCAGCGATACGCCTTTTTTACGCCACAGGTAGCAGAAGTTGGCCAATGCATTTCCGGTCTGTGCTATTTGCGTCTGTCACACTTCAATCAGCCAATTTAACTTGTCAGCTATAAACCGTGTACCATAGGCGCATTGGTTCCAGCTGCTAATTTCGGTCACTGGAAAACGGGAGTGTAGGACATACAACCAAGCCTTGGGATTAATGCAAATTCCGAGATATATAAAAGCTTCCACAATTTCCAGTGTCACTAGCTGAATTTTCAGAGGCACGCTCAAAGATTGTACGTCCTGTAGAATGACGTTGTGCTTTGTGCGCGCAAAGTACACGCCGAGGGACTGGATGACCTTGGTGAGCTTTTCTAGTAATGCTTGCGCTTCTTGCTCCTCTTCAAAAGTGAGAACAATGTTGTCTGCATATTTCGGGTCAACAAGGTTCTCGCTCGAAGAGATCTGAACACCGGGGTTTGGGGGAACTTCCCATGTTTGCATCACTACCATTTCGGTGGGGAACTTGAACAAAAACGGAGAGTGTGGATACCATCGCTTGTAGGAAAGCTGGATGGCTACCCATACATTCTCACACGTCCACAGGTGAGTATGAACAGCGCCTGACATTCACAAACTTCCGGAGCATACCGTGTCGTGTTATGGATAATTAACCTGTCGACAAAATTCAACGTGCTGTTGAATTCAGAGAATATCAAGATTTTGGACGCCTATACTCATGTCGTTGCTCTGAGACTTGACGGATTGCGAAGATGTGCTTCACACAGCCCCTCTTTGGCCGGAATCCTGATTGCTGTTCTCACGTCCCGTCTTTTCCTGCCTACGTGAGATAACGTAGAGTAAAGCCACAAGCTGTCTGACTGCCATTGTAAATATTGAACGTAATGATGCGTCATAATTCAGACTATTTAGATACTATGTATACATTATATTTACATTATGTCATTCAGATATTGGATATTTATTGTTTAGATTATTTACTTGACAGTAGAAGACAATAAGTTCAATCTAGGGTGGGGTTGGCTTTAGAATATCAGAACACACGTTGACATGAGTGCCGCGATCAAAGTTAGATAGGCAGCAACGGTTACACAGTGTCGTGTATACCGGAGTCATATGATTGAGTTGTGCAATTCCAAATTGTTTCAAACACTGATAGCATCAGTGCAACAGATCTATTTCGCTGCTTCAAATTGCACTCAGTAACCAGCCAACATTAATCTTTCCGTTACTTAGCACATGATTTAGATCAAATAATAGTAGTTCCAATAAAATAGTGGTTCTCATTTGGAAGAAAACTTCAGTTAGATCTTGTGGTTCTCTCCACTGATGATGTGTTTGAAGTCTATGTGAACATCCGGAGGTGGCGGAAATGGAGTTGGTATAAACTGGTGGGCCAATTACCGGGTGCTACCGTGACGCTGAGTCATATCGTGCTGTATACAATGAGATAGTAGACATCGTGAGATGATGCCAACTTCATTTGGGGACTACATCCAACATCACGTACCGCTCAAATGTTATGGTGCTGCGAGGAAAATTCCCTTGTGACTTTCAAAATGGCGCAGACCAAAGGGTAGACAAAAACATAACATGGTAAAACGTGATGAAAATGATTACGAAAACATGCTGTCATCTTCATTCTCATTGACAACTATGCACCAGCATTACATACCGGCGTCCAACTGTCATACAATCATGAAACAGGAAAACCTAAGTAAATTGTTGGAGGAAATTGATAGGGTGGGGACTTAGTACTAAAAATCCTCATGGTCCTGAGGAAAACGATCACCAGCAAGATGCCTACACTTTTGGACGGAATTAAAATGAACACATTTGAGCATCATGTCAAGTCAAACAGAGTCGGAATGGATCCAGTGTACTTTGCGAACATCACTTAACATAAGCCCAACGCACAACGACAAGCGAACTTTAGCTAGACAGTCCGGCTAGGAAATGACAGCCACTGAGATCGGTTGCCTGTCGTGTTCTGAAGGGTTTCCAACCACCAACGAGTAGGATCGCATGGGTGCAAGCCAAGAAGCGGTGAAGACCCCACGCACTCAGTTTGATAGCCGGTTTTATTTAATATTTTCATGTTATGGCCTGTCCCTTGCAAATCTTTCGCCAAAAGCCGTTTGGAATAAAAAAAACAGTGCTCTCTTCGGTGGATGCTGTGCGAATGCTTCTCGCGCCTTAACTTCATCCGTTACAGTACAGTCATGGCTGTCAAGATGTATAGACCGACCAATAAACTCAAGCTCTTCACCCTGAATTCTCAGAAAAGAACAAAGCGATGGGGGAATGTTGAGCTATCACTCTACAGTCTGAAGGTGCAAAATGCATGCCAAAACATGGGGTCACGTCCGATATCCTGGTTAAAGTACTTTACACAAACAAATGTTCATCAAACAACAGAGTGCCATCCGAATACGTTAATCTCCATTTGTGATTTAGGTACCTAGATTCACGGTCACTTGAACGGTGCACTCAGTGATGACTTTGATGACAAAATTGACAAAATAGAGAAATCACAGCCCTGACAAACTCCACTACTTGTCAGGAAGCTTCTGAACAGTTCGCCATGCACCTTAACCCGACCAGAGGTACGGTAATAAGGAGCACGAGAAACGCTAACGAACTTTGTTGGCACCCCCTCTGGCCAAGGATATTTAGGACAGCTGATCTATCCACAGAGTCGCAGGCTCCCTTAAAGTCAAGTATTTCGACCAGTTTTAGTTTTTATTGAATTGGGAAGTCGGACAGCATGGGATCGGCTATTTACGGATATCCAGCCGAATGATGTAGCCTCAACTCAATAACAGGGGGGACTACCAACACCAGCGCAACACAGTGTCGCTTGATTACTCGAAGTTCGTATTCGGTAGCGCTTGGATAGACATGGCGCCGCAAGCTCAACAACTCTACTTGAATCTTGCTTTCGTGTTTTAGAGATGTGACAGATTTCAACCGACGGATTAACTAGGGTGCGTGCAAGAGCAGCTTGTTGGTGCGTCTTCTCAAGGGTTCGTAAGCTAAAGGTCGCAATGAAGACAGGAGAACGGGGTTTGGGTAGCGTAGTTGGAGCTGTAAATACGGGGGTGGAATGCAATGTGTCGGTTCCCCAGGTGTTTGACCTGCTTACAGCTGAGATCTGAATACCAGTGATTGTCGATGAAGAAAAATGAGGAACGTTAGCAGTCGTGTAGTTTCGCTTATCCGCCCTGCTGTACACAGCCACTAAGACGACTAGGCTGATGTCACGACGCTACGACCGATGTGATATGAAGGTACTTTCATCCATAAAGTTCATGGTTGTATGATAGGGCATCCAGACCTAACAACAGGACGATTATCGTACTAAACCATTTGGCATTTGGCCGAAAAGCCTGGTCGTGAGACAGTGGTGGTTGGCGTGAGATCATCCGAGGTGCCCAATTCTAGGCAAAAAGCTGCTACACTTGCTCCAACCACTCCTCTGTAAGGCCAGGCCGCTTGACCAGCTGATAGGATAGGCTATAGATGGATATCCATCAGTATGGTCCGATGGGTTACAGAGGAACGTAAACAGTTGAACTACGATAAGGTCTTCGCGACGGTCTAGTTGCTTTCGGTGAGATCAGCCCTCTGGAAGGGAATCAATTTGATTCACCCTGCGCGTGGTTAGAAACGCCTGCTGTCACTTTTTTGCCTAGTTTATCTCAATGAGGTATAGGCATATCGACGCTGGTAGACAAGCACAAATGTCCTTATCTTTCTTTGAACCGTCTGTGTGTAACGTCTTTACGTAAATTAGCAGTGGTTGTACGCACCGATGTTCCGTACTGATTTTAGTGTTAGTGATGATAGCAAGGCCCTGACTTACTGAACAACCAGAAGTATGTTTGAGGAGATTGTTAATCTCGTTTGACTTCTGATCAATTCGCACATGTCACGTAACATTTACTTTCCTTTTACAGCACTCACAGGCATTAGGAGGCAACCTCCTACGGGCTTTCTGACACTATTCGAGGCCCTTCACTACTGTGAATCGGGTTGGTACCTGAAAAACCCATCCTATCCGGTGTGGATTTTGGGGTCAGAAACGCACTTCACGGTCTTGGCGTCCCCAGAATTACAGCTAGTGTCAAAGGAAGAGATGCCATCCAGTGGAACAGCTACTATTCGCCAGGCTGAGATGGAATTTGCCAAACTGAGCGCAGATCAGGATACTAAGTCTGGTTTCATCACCTCGGCTCAATTAGGGAAACTGCTGGAGGCTTTGAATATCCCTTTCACTGAAGAATCGTACGTTGATCGTAATCATAACGCATCTCCCTGTCTAGAATGAATTCAGCGTATTTCATTGCTGAATGTTTCTCTAGGTTACCAAAAGAAGAGCTGTCTTTGTTGGCAATAATCTCGACCCAGACCGGTAGTAGATTCAAGATCAAGATCACATCCTGGAAATTGTTAAACGAAGTGAAAATTTTCTTCAGTCCTGATTTCATTTCTAAAAGTCACATCTGGCAGGTAGGTAATCAAAACGGTTCCTTGGAAAGTGAAATAAACCAGATAAGAACTGACCTCGAAGAAAATGGGCATCGCCAACCCGTCATTCATAAGCACTATTAAGGGAGCTGTCTTTTCCGGAATTATGGCACCGAAGACGAATATATGTATATTTTATCCATTCCACTAACCAGAAGGCCTTTGGCCGCTACCAACCAGCTTTTTCTGGCCAGTAAGCTGAATATACACTAGCGCAATCCCCACCAACCCAACTGGATCGTTCTTCATCCCTATTACCTGCACATGTGGTATCCGGCACTTCACAGGCACATCTAAGTGCTTGCCTAAACTCGTTTCGGAACACCTTCCACTGTTTGAGCAAGGACAGTATCTGCCCCAGAGTGGCTACCAAGTGGATTGCTCAAACTCGTTTGGCCCATTTCAGTGTGTGAAAACCTAACTCTAAAGAATGTATTGAGCGGATGGCATGAGTGACCAAGGCCACTGCAGCTGGCGCTGCGGAAACCTGAGTTGCTCAAGCAAGGATAGTTAATTCAACCGCTCCTATTGCTGAGGCCTTGGTAAGGTCAGTAAGAATTATCTAGCCAGTCAGGGTTTCAACTGTCCGTGCTGTGACCTTTTGTTTGACGTTTTTCTCTTGACTTGTCGCAATGCCAATTGTGACTGATCTTCAGTAGTCGACTTGTGGAACTGTTTCGAAGGCGCACCTGCCTGACGTGGTATTTTCGAAAGAAAAGCATTCGCATTTCCTATTTTCTGTGAACTACTGGGCATCTCTCATGAGATCCTTGCTATTGCGCTTTTCAAGCAGACGCGTGGTTTGAGGTCTTCGTTTATTTCAATGTTTTGCAACCAGTTATCCAGTTTAGACATATGTGCGCGGCAAAAGCCGGATTTGCTCGGATAACATCTTTCGTATCGCTTGCTTCATAGCGCGGGACAAATATGTGTTCCTCTGTGTCGGTGTGTGGTGGTTATAGGAACCGTTTCACATAGTGTTCGTTTGTGCCTTGTGATCAAGTTCGCGAATTTTCCGCTATCATTAGTCTTTTGTGGTGGCAGATTCGGCTGTTTCATCCCATTAAAGAGATTGTTCTTCACGTTCACTGCTAGACTAAGAGTGACAAGCCACTTTAGGCTTAATGAGGCTAGCGTAGTCATGTCACTTTCTGGAAGCAAGCAAATTTCTGGAGGACACTAAGTTCATCATGAGACCTTCATCCTTTCTATCTTTGCTAGAATTGCGGATATCCAAAGAAAACTCGATCCAGAAGAGCTTGGTGTGATCCTGGAGGAGCCGTTTCTCCGGCATTTCTTCCCCATGGAGATGTCAAATCGTACCTCGGCAGTTAGCAACTTTCAAGTTATTCATTACAATGGATTGGTGAAGTCTAATGCAGGTGGACAGGTTAGTATGCACAGTTGTACCTATCACAAGCTATAGTCTGCGCAGTGTTGCCGACTCAGCACTGTTTCTACCCGAATTGGGCTCATTTAACATCGTACTCATGGGAAATCGGCAAGATAGAAACGAACGATTTCGAAGCTGGGAGGAAAACATTGAACGATTTCAGGAAGTTGTTAAAATGTCTCCATAGTAGGAGGTTCCCTCTAGAGAGGGCGACTAGTGAGAGCACCCCCCGCACTATGCAATGGGATAACGAAAATGGAGTTTTAATGCGTTGAGTAGCCCCGAGGCTGGTATCAGAACGCTGGAGAGCTCCAAAAATAAAAACTGAGTTACCCGCTAGCATCTAGATTATACGAGCTTGGTGTAATCTCCGCTTCAACCGGACTAACTGCTTGAGACGTCCAATACCCATGCACATCTCTGAGGCATACATTGGTGCGGTGACGTATTGGACGTGTATGATGGTTCAGTCATATTTCAGTTCAAACGGACCATTTGAATGATAGATTTTACAAGAAACGACACAGAGGACGACAGTAGTCATCGGGAAGTTGATAAGTCATACGTTTCTTGATTGTGCTTCATGATTCCGATATACCGGATCACATACTAAACCAGTGATCACGTCAAGTCAGGTCGTGAGATACCCGATGGTGGTACCAGCTGGTAAATCTGAGTCAACGACACTCATGAGTTCTGCAAACAGGACTTTCTTATACTTTACCTGATGTGTTCACTTGCCTTGGAGCAGCGAGTTTGCAGAATTGCATTGTGGTGTTTGAGTTTCCTTCATTTCCTAGGAAGGAGTGCGCTCCACTTTGCAACCCAAATGAATTGATATGCGGTAGTCGCTGTACTTAGTAAAGACAACCAGTAGCAGCTCAGAGCGAAGTCTACGTGTAGATTAGGAACGGGTCAGTCTGTTCCCACTTTTCTTATGGTCCGCTTTCTGTCGTTGCGTGGGTACCTAAAAAGTACCTGTGCATATTGATAAAAAATGACGGGGCTTGGATAACATCATGTTACAACCTATATTCGGTCACACTGGTACTGGAAGTAATCAGCTGTGCAAATCTTACGAAACCTTAGGGAATTTACAACCAGCGACATCTCGGTCAGTAGTTCGAACACAACCGTTCGGCTGACCAGACCTATGATTTGTGCTGCAACATAGGTTGACCTCACTCCGAGCCAAACATAGCTCAGGCTTAAACTTACTGACCGGAAGGCCCATGGTTCGAATCCAACTTCGGCATCTCAGTTACTTTTGTCTAGGCTTGTCACAGCAGCTAGGCAACGAAAGGGTGTTGCAGCTGAACGATCATTGTCAGTATTATTGTTTCAGTGAGGTCTGGCAAACAGTCTGGATTTTTCATTATTGACTTCACCCATACGACGAATTTATTTGAAAAATACTCAAACTTCACACTACTAACAACCTATTGGTAGCTCAAAATGAAAAACAATTCATGAAACGAGCAGAGCTATCTGCGAGGTCGTCACCCGAAGAGTCAATCAAGGCGTGCCTCGAGATGTGGATTCTGTGATTGAAGGTTGAGTGGTACTGTGCCCTATCTAAACGCAAATCAGTCACACTACTGTTGGTTCACAATAAGGATGAAGGAACTGTAGTGTTCCTCGGCTTTTCAGCTTATAGTAACTTCACCCACAGGACGAAATCTCAGTTGAAAAATACCCGAATCTCCTCACACTAGCAACACCCTCGAAGAATCGGGAATTTTTGACCTGATCTGGTATTCGAACATATTGCTAAACTTTTGTGGTTTGTATTACATCACTCAGTCTATCAGTGGAAGTAAAAATGGATGTTTCTGTCTTCAGGCCCCAGAGCACTGGTGCCATTACTCCTTCATGCAAACACTTTCTCAACCGTTCTTTCTTATGCATGCTTTTTAAGGAAGATGTTATCTTGCGCAACTTTGACCAATCCCAGCGCCCTGTGTCACTACGATTGTGTGACGACCGTACACACACTATCACTGCACTAGGGGCCGACCTAGTCACTATTCGCGACTTGGGACTTGAGACAGCTACGTTTAAACCTTCAGAGTTATTTCATGGGCATGTCTTTTCGTAACATTATTCCAGGTCTGAACTTAGAGGACTCACTACTACTCCACATCCTAAGTTCGCGTTCCTTGGATAGACATTTTTCAGCAATTTATCCAGTTTGCCCCACCACAAAATTTAGCCGTCATTATTGCTACAGAGCTCCTCACTTATCCCTTGGTGATGCAGCTCAGCATGTAAATATACGCTTTATTAGTTCTTTCCATGACAAACTTTTCCACAATCAGGACCTGGTGTCTGTTACATTATTTTACCATTACTCCAATCATCATTGTCATCATCAGCTGTAAGAACCACGTACCTGCCACAGTGGTTGTAGCTGCTACAGTTTCGTCCACCGATGATTTGGGTAGGTGGAGGCGGGAGCTGGTGAACCGGTGCGTAAATACTGCTCTGTCAGTGGACTTTCAAGTGGGGGGAGCTATGAATTGAAGGTAAAAACTTGGATGCATGAGCGCCTTTGAGGCTCAATCCAAACTGGTCTCCTCAGTCCATCTTCCTGCATCCTTCTAAATGCGCCCGTCTTTGCTTATACGGTCCCCACCAAGGTATTACCGCTCGTAGAATCAAACTCTTCTACATCTAGGCGTAACACTCCAGTCGTAGGGTTACTGAAAACTCCTCGACAACCCGCAACCGTCTTTTGGATCATCGCGTATGTGCATTCCACGAGTTTTCATTAAACTTATGTTCTACTTGAACCTAGATCGGGCGGTTGCACACTAATTTTTTTCCGGAAGACTCAGTTAAATGGAGCTGCTTATGTTGTTTGTTTTGCAACTGAATTTGCTGCACAATACTACTTCATGTTTCATTTGGTACGATATTTGAGATACCGGAAAAGATTGTCTAGACGTAACACTGCCAATAAGGTTGCTCGTTGACAGCTCACTACCACTATAAACGAGAAATTTAGCTGTCTTCCATCAAAACGAATCCTGTTTTGCTCGGGTTCCAGGTCAATGGGAACTCGGAACAGCGCCATTCTGATGAGCTCCAAGAATGGTGGAATCGGTCGTGGGCTGTCAAAGAGCTTTCACCAACCTTATAAGTGGTTTCCTCACAAAAATATCGCGATATCCCGAATATAGCACCAACTGACGCACCATATTAGGTCGAATAACATAAACAAGAGATTCAGTTGGGATCCAAGTTAGTCTCCTGTGAAAAAACCAAGTGGGTGTGCAAATGAGAATAATTGACGAATTCTTTCCTACGTCTTTTTTCGAAGAATAACACATGTTTAGAACTCTGTTTCTGTTGTCCCAAGCTCGTATAACCTTGCACTCTTCAAACTTCGAGTTAACGTTGACCCCAACCCACCCTGAGCTTTTCACTCTCTCAATTGTTTTTTATCGTTTCTACGGAAGGTATTTTCCCCACTCAGTTACGTGTCTCCCCCCTCCCCATTTAAATCTGCTTGGTACTGCAGTCTAATTAGAAAAGCGTCAAATGCATACACACCTGTACATCCTTGCACAAAATTCAATTGAGATGCTTTTAGCTAGTTACGCTATTTAAACGTAGCCAACGTCAGAAGGATTATCCGTCTGTCTACCATTCACCTATCTGTGATGTGTCATTAGCTTATAAATCCTGCTTGTTTCATACAGGTTCGCTATGAATTTGGCGAAGCCCACTTACTGGACCCGACGGAGGAACTCATCGAAACGGATCCCGTTGATCAGAACCCAATCCATCGTTGTCTTCGAACCAAATGGCCCACGATTCGTATCAGATGGAGAGGAAATAAAGTCCCTTCCCTCAACTAACCTTAACTGGGTTGTGCATTCAGTATTAAGTTTTGTCCCCCACTTCCAACGTCTAAATGAACAATGGACTGTGAGCTCTTAGGATGTATTTTTACTAGATAATGTTGTGTGAACGGTCTGGTTTTGACATTTAATTATGTGTTCAGCAAGTTGATCGTATAAGCACCCTACCTTTGATTGCGGCGCAGTAAACATTAATGGCTTTCCAGCGTCCGCTGATTGTATGAGCTCCGGGTCAATTGGAAAACGTGCCAGGACGGGTAATCCGGTTGCCTCGGCCAGTCGGTCGCCACCTGACACCGTACTCTCAGGCCCGTCCTTCTGATGTCCAAATAGTGGGCTGTGATGACCACAGGCAGGGCAGATGAATTCTGTCATGTTTTCAACGATTCCATAGATAGGGACCTAGGGGTAGAAAGTAGATTTTACGGCATCTGCCATTATAGCCAGTATGATTGGCTGAGTCTACACATATTGCTATTTAGCATTTGGGCTATTTATGAAAACAAGTAGCGCTGCATCATTTCTGCTACAAATAAATCAATATCAACACATGCGGTGGCTGATGTTCGATTTTATTTAGGTCGTCATGTAAATTTACAAGTCTCTAGCAAAATACATGAGCAGAGCAGTAGGAAATGTGGAAGCCATTGAATGGAGAGAAAGGTGCATACGTCAAAGTAACTTTCTCTAATTTTTTAGTCGAGGGAGTCTCCAGTAATAATGCGGAATGTGGTGTAACTTACCACTTACAAGGGAGCAATTCAGATATTTTTACAGACGCACGGTTTGACAAACATTGTCCATGGAAGCTGTACGGTTGATGTCCGTTTTCTAGACACTACAGACATCCGCAGTCACTTTGTAACGCTTTTCAGCTAGCTTAATTTTACTTGTCAGTATAAAATCACACCCTTAGATAGTCATCTGATAGTCTTCAAGCGGAAAACGGTCGACTAGCTAGTCTGACTCGTGCCGTATCGAACTCGGCGTGTATCGTCATTCCGATTTCTGCTTGAAGAGTCCGAAATGCTACAAGATGACTGGCTGAAGCCTAGAACAACAAGTCACCCAGGAGGAATAAGTCCAGGAGTAAAGTAGTATCATTTCTTCCTGTTCAGAGTGCATATCGATTTGACAAGTGCCACTAATTCACAGAATTCCAATTCCGGTTGAAACGAAAGACGTGTGTCACAAGTGAGCTCTAGCAAACGCGAAATCTTTTTGAAGAAACTAACTGAGTAGGCCTCAACAAGGTGGTGCAATGTAAAATAAGCATTCGAAGTATACTTTTTGTGCAGAGTAACTCACGTTTAGGGTTTTCAGCATCTGTATACCGCGACGTGTGTCAGATGTGGCCAGAGTCTGCGGTGTAGTCACAATCACAACGCCCTGGATGGGAACATTCTGACAAAGTGATAGCTGAACGTCCCCGGTTCCTGGCGGCATGTCGATAACCAGAGTATGCAAAGGACCCCAAATGACCTACAAGAAGTTTCCATGGATCATGGAAGCCTGAGGCATAGTATGAGGTTGTCGCTACAAACGTCAACAGTTGCTGACCTCTTGAATAAACGTATAAGTACATGTTACGTGTGACGTACCACTTTTGCATATTGCATGAAATCAAAAGCCCCTGTGAAGTCGACAAACAAGACCTATAACAGTTGCTTACGTTCGCGGAGTTTCTCTTATATCAGGAAACTATCGGTGGTCGAAACGTCGGGCAGTTTCACTTAATGCATCTACTTTTAGTCACCAGTATCTTTGTTACAAACTTATACTGTGGTCCGTGCCCACCAAGTCTGAGCGGTCCGGCGTGCAGTTTATTCCCAAAGGCTCCCGCTTTGTATTCGCGAAATTGTCGTTTGCAATTCTAACGTTGGAGGACCGTCCTTTCAGTTCTCCTCTGTAGGTTGCAGCGTTTGACTCATTTGGCCCCATTGGATTTCGGACGGGTGGTTGATCAGTACAAGGAAGTCAGTCTTTTACGCAGCTAATATATCTTCAGGTTTTTTGGGTTTTCCACCTGTTCAGATAACTCGAAGAGATTTCTGACACTGAGTTTTGGATCCATAGACCTCTTTCAATGCTCCAAAGAACTCCTTATGACGCGCTGCTTCGATTACATCATCGACGTTACATTCAGCGTCGTGTCATTTTTTGGGTAAAAAGAAGTTCGGTCCTACTTATCAGCTATAAACGATGTACCAAGAGTACTTTGGTTACCACTATTGCAGTTTTGGTGAAGAGAATGTCTTTGAAGTCTCTTTCGTCAGACAAATAATTACATGGTCATTAAGATGTCCTTGTCCATTTCTCGGGTGTGTCCAGATGACCAAGTGAGTTTTTTAAAGATCAAACCATATTGATGATGGCCATCCCAGTACCACGCACGTGGACGAAACACTGGTCACTGCCGTTCAGTGATCGAAGAACATTCTTCCCGAGCCTTGACAAAATTGGGCGATAAGAACCCCATTAAGAGATGGTCGTTGGGGGGTAAGGCTTGGATGACGATCAAAAGATGAGTGTAAAACTCGTCTTTTACTCTTCAGAACGAGACACGGCGCACAAACGCTGGCAAACGCAGCAAGACACTAAGCTACAGTTTGAATTGTCATCACCCCTGGATTGATGCAGCTTATTTCACGGAAGATTCTTGCTAGCAAGTTCCTTGGTATTACAAATCCAACTCCGTGTCCCAGATAACTGTTCTTTAGGTCTAATTCCCACTAACTTTGCCACGGTCACTACCATAGTGCCTGCACTACAATGCTTGGGTTTCTTGCCGACGATTGTTGTTTGCCGTTCGGGTCTGTCATTGTCCTGATTCAGTGGGATTTCGATATTTCGGGGTCATACCAAGTTATCTAGTGACGCTGCTGCGTAAACAAGATGCCTTGTTTTTTTCATAAAGCTAACTACTTACAAGGCTGCTGAAGACTTCGACAGCTCTAGAACGAGAGATTCATTTGAGTCTCCCGTGAGAACCAAACTGGTATGCAAATCAGTGTATTTTTCGAAGATGTCTTCCTGTTTGATGGTTTCCAGACGTCCGAGTTTCGGATCTGCATTGGCCTTCAACGATCTGGTCTGAAATTATTCAGCTGTAGCACCATTTCGGTACTTAGTTGCCACGTCGACGGAAAGATCTGGTGGGACCAGCAAGACTGTGATCGGTGGAATTTTCTTGAATAAATCTGTTAGAAGCCAAAGACTCAAAGTTTTTTTTACCCACTTGGATTTATGAAGGATGGCTTAACCCAGCGACACGGAGCACGCGGCAGAGAGGCCTCACTTCAAATGCTAGCGCATAGTACTCATATCTGTCAGAATTATTTTGATCGTATTGGCTGATACGCCGGACACTATGGGACGGGACTGCTGTTTCTACTAGTACAAGTATACAGTACACAACACTACGTAATGCGGTATCCCCTCTACCTAACAACTTGCCTACAATGTAACTGTTTGGTTGTGAACATGACCACTTTTGCTTGTGTGATTAGAGAATCCGTCGATTCGGTTATCAAGATTTGATCATCCTCGCAAAATGCAAATTAAAACAGGTGGATCTAAAGTCGAATGCTAAAGGCAATGTACGAAACTAAGAGTTTTTCGTTTTTATACGTGGAAAAACGTCAGCACCTTGTTAGGCTGGGAATGTAACCGTGGTGCAAATTCCAGCCACAGTAATCTCACCTGTCTCAAGAGTTGCTGGACGGCAGACATAACCATTAGCCCACGCCAAACGACAGCCGAATCAGAGTCCACGAGGAAACCCATTGACATACACTTGATGCCATAGCTGGTTAGCGGAATGATGCGCTTTTTGGAATCTATTTCCGGCTTCAAGTCGTCCAGTCCCATCATCCGTGGAATAGACGGACCGAAAACATCCAAATCCAACAGACCAATCGGTTCTTCATGTAGCCGATTTTTCAAAGCTAGGGAAAGATTCACGGCGACGGTAGACTTGCCTGGAAAACAAGAGTCAAGCTCCACGTGGTGAACAGACCGACACCCCCTTTGGCCGATGACACCATGAGAATATTTCGAACTTCTGGGATGGGTAGCTTGACCGCCGCTAGACCGCGTCTAACGACTCGAAGGCACTGTAGGTTATTTGCGACACAGTAACAAAAGAGCCCTGATGCCGCGGGACGAAAAGCTACACTGTGCATTGAATGATGCTGGGGAAGAATGTGAAGTACGGTGAAATAGTCACATAGGCAATGAGGTTTAGCCATGGCTTGGGAAGAGCTTAGGAAATAAGAAGGAGCAAAGCAGAGTATGACAAAAAAGTATGACGGGACCATATGGTGGTCCTGAATACTGAACAGCACGTTGTGGAGGGGTTTCTGAGACAGCATACAGAATTAAGTCGCCGTATCCATGTAGACAGGTAATTTGTCAGTTATGTTGTCATTGTCAGTGTTGACGTCGATGCTTCACTATCATGCAACCACAAAGTTCGCCTGACTATAGCTAAAGACTTAAAGTGAAGAGAAAAGAAAAAGAGTGGGTGAGGGAAGGGACCTGGTGTTGGCCGTTGTCGAGAATTCTGAGCTGCCTGCACTCCCAAGCGCTCAATCAGACAACCTAGAAACTGGCAGGACCAACGCCAATAGCATCGATCAGCCGCCAATTTATGCAATGTCTACCGGTTTTGTAAAGTGATTTAAGAAGTGACGTAACTTCAGGAGAGCTTTTCTGTCCAGAGAGGTTTCCTGCAGCTGAGGATAATGATAAACGACCAGACTATGTCAATGATCAGGATTAGCGCGATAGTCAAAGAGTCAATACCAAACCCAAAAGTGGTTTCGATGTATTGAGTTGAAACAATTGAGGTATGAAAGGTGTAACTAGTAACACAAGTCCTCCCTGGATGAGGACTCCAGGAACCAACACACTGATGGTTAATGACGGTAAATGACAGGGTTAAGCCCCACAGTCTTAATATTTCAAGCAACAGTCCCCCCAGCACCTCTGCATCAAAGCTGTTCCCTTCAATGTACAGCTACCAAATTCCAACTGCAACTGGTAAGTGGGAAGGTTCAACAGAAATGAACGGATTAGGCCATCACTTCTAGTGCCTGACCCGACCTAAAGCTGCCATCCGGACGTAGCTTGAGTGCAGCAATGATCCACAAGGTGCAACTATGCCAGGAAAGCCAAAGGGGAGCAGTCACACCAAAAGCAGAAAGACTCGGTGATACGGGGCAGTCCGATGTTAAAGCCATAGAGTCTTCTGCGACACAGGTATGAAGACAGTAATGTGCTTCCCCCAGGAGACCAGCATGTTCATAATTATGAAAGCAGCGATGCCGCCTTCAACGAGGAAGGACGGGTTAGAAAAGGTCGGCCCTAAAAAATGCACACCGATCGCCCAATGGTTGGCCGTGACCATCTGCGCATTATTCAATACGGTCGAAATACTTTTAAAACCAGCGTCCGGTGCTGCGTTGAAAGCACGTGTTGCGCGCAACCACATCAGGAGACAGTAATGCCTTACTCAGTTAGGCCAACCCCCTGCAGCTGAGTAGGTCAGGCTACGGGAAGGGTCCCCAGTGAAAACCCTACTGTCTGCTGCCTCGCCGGCTAGACTTTTGAATCAAATGCTCGAGGTAGGGTACCCCAACCAAACCTTCCTCGGCCTGGGCAACCGGGAATTAGCATTTGCTCGTACAGTTGTGTCCACTTATGCTTTTGCCCAACCTCTGTCCATCACACAAGCAAACGCTGCTGGGTTATTTTATTGTCAGTTGACTGACCCATGGAGCTTACACTCCCCGTTGTCTATTACAGAAAACAATGACAACTTGTTAAATCCACCAGATCCTTTCTACATAGGACCTTTTAACGTCCGAGCTCAATATCAAATCGGCAAGCAGGCAACGCTCGCTGAAACATTATGAAGCATTTTATTATTATTAACAATATTACCACCATCATCGCAGCATAACATCAGTGATCAACACTGACGCTTCGCTGCCATACAACAACGATTCATTCGAAAAGCTTATTGTGAAGAAAAGAATAAAGCTGGACTGAGCAAGGGACTTAGTGCTAGCATACTAAGATCATTCCGAGGTGCCCAAACCTCTGGACACTTATTCAGGCAATCTGGATAAAGTGACATTGGTTGGAAGCCATATCTGTTATGAGGGATACCTCTAAACGAACAAATCAGTTTTACTAACGATTTGTCTTGTACACTGAAAACTTGTTTAAACATTTCAGCCTCTCATTGACATCCTATTGGACCGTAAACTCCTTTTATAAACTGGTTCAGTTAAATTCCGTATCGCGGAACGATCTACTTGTTTGCAGTATAATTTCGCCGAAGTTGTTTGTCTTCTCCATTCCAGTGGACTAACGCGTCTTACTGATACATTAACAAAGAGGATATAACACTGGTGATGAGAACCAATCGCGAACACAAACATATTAATTTCAGCTGAGGATTTGAAAGTACATAAGCGCAGTTCGAACGATCATAATTGAAACTTATTCAGTCTTTTACTCGAAATCGTTCAGCTGTAACACCCTTTCAGTGCCTAGCTGCCATGCCACACGAGGGAAGCACAAGGGCTGAGATACTGTCAGGTTGCCCAAGCCTAGACAGGGGAAGTCGAAAGGCAGAGGTCGGGTTCGAACCACGGACCTTCCGGTCAGTAAATTCGCGCTCTAACCATTGAGTTCATCTTGCCCCCAGTCTCTTACTCGTCGTCATCATCATCATCATCGACAGCATGACACCAGTGTTCAACACCGATGTTTCACTGCGGTATCTTTTGCTCAAGTTATCAGTCTTGAGACATCAGTTCCATCTCAAAGTGGCACTTCATTATCCTTTGCCGATTCTACCGCATCGAAAGTCACCCAGTTGCTCTACGAACCGGCATCTGGTCTCGCATTCGATTCATGGCACAGATACTTTCCAGAATGAGTTTGCCAACAAAGATAATGTGTGAAAATCCCGTCTATCGGTCCGGAAACTTGGAACCCTCGAGCACGATCGGTCCACGAGCTTCATTCTTCCCGAAAATCCAAAGGATCTAAACATCTCACAAACCGGTGGAACAATTCCATGAAATATTTGGTGAGCAGTATTCACTTTATAATGTTCGATACAATTGTCTCAAATTGGCCAAGCGCGAGGGGCAACGCGGCTCAGGTGATTAGGGCGCGAAGTTACTAACCGGAAGGTCCGTGGTTCGAATCCAAGCCCTGCCTCTCGACTTCCCCTGTCTAGGATTGGGCAACCTGGCAGTATCCCAGCCCTCGTGCCTCCTTCGGATAGCATGGCAGCTAGGCACCGGAAGGGTGTTACAGCTGAACGAACGAACGGCAAACAGCGATTCTGACGATTACGTTAATTTTGCCGGTGTCGTCAACCGTACGTATGAAAAATCTTCATTTCAGTCACTTACTGTTCAAGTGTCCAATTTTCGTCGCTGGTCTTCAGTCTCCGCAGGAATCAGATATTCGTACTCGATCGCTTTCCAAGCTTGAGCACGAGAAGGGTATTGCCCTGAAACTACTTATCACCGCCAACATTTACGTAATCTTAAACACGATACCACAATCCAACAACAGACGTCACGATCTAATAATCTGTGGTGTCATGGCGTTGAAACGAACTACTGTTACACATGGAAAAAAACCACCAACATCATGTTGGTCCTGTGTCGAGTGACATTATGCACATTTCTGTCCATTCACGAAGCATCAGTGCCAGAGGTATCATCGGTGGGGCCACAAAGGTTTCCGCCGTACCCGAGACAAAATTCAGCGATGCCTTTCAAGGTGGTCTTGGATGCTGTACCAAAATGAAGGCAAGCCTCAAACTCCAACCCAATTCCAGTTCAATTTTCAGACCGAAGCGTCCCGTGCCATTTGCCGCCGTCGCAACTGTGAAGAATGAATCTGTTCGTCGCTAGAAATCCAGAGGTATCCATCCAGTAAACTATTCATCATGGACAGCCCCTATTGTTGTCATCAAAAAAGCAAATGGCAACGTGCGCACATGTGCTGATTATTCCACTGGATTAGACGTGTTAGACTCTCACCAATATTCGTTGCCAGTACCAGAAGACCTGTTTGCCAAGCTTAATGGTGGAAAATGTTTCGCAAAGCTGGATCTCGCTGACGCTTACCTTTAAATAGGAGTCTCTGATGACTCCAAAGGACTTCTGACAATTAACACACATCGCGGTTTGTTTCAATTTGACCGTCCACCATTAGGCGGTAAAATCGGCACCAACAATATTTCAACAAACAATGGATGCAATACCAAACGGTCTATGAGGAGTTGCTGCTCATGTAGATGACATGATTCTCATAGGTTCTAGTCAAAAACTTTTGCGTCGTTTGTTTCGTGTACTCGAACGAATTCAGTAATATGGTTTTCGTCTACGTGTAGAAAAATGTGCATCTTTTTCTCACCTCCATCAAATATCTTGGGTTTATATTTGATGAAAATGGTAGCCACCCAGAGTCAGAAAATATCTCTACCATAAAACAAATGCCAGCACCGACAGATTTAGCAACCTTAGTTTGGTAAGCCAGTAGAGTTCATTTTTGCAAGACATGCATCGTGTCCGTGAACCACTGAAACATCCTTTAAAAAATGATGTGCCTTGGGAATGGTCGCATCACTGCCAGTCCACTTTTGACAAAGTTAAGTCGCTTCTCAACTCTGATCTGCTACTCACACATTACAACACAAATCTGGGCAGTACTGTGGTATGGTATTGGAGCTGTCATCTCTCACGTCTTCCCTGACGAAAGCGAAAAAGCAGTTTTCAACGCAGCCAGATCCCTAATAATTACCGAGCGCAATTATGGTCAGATCGAAAAAGAAGCTTCTACGATAACATTCGCCATCAAGAAGTTCCGAAGATCCCTCTATGAACGTCATTTTACGCTCATCACTGAGCATAAGCCAATTCTCCGCGTTTGAGGATCAAATTGAGGTTGTGCACACAGTCAACCGTTTGCTGTTGCTGCCCCAATAACCAGAAGTTAACGCAGTGCTTCCACTACAATCCGTGCATTTCCAGTTACTTCTGCCATGGTCCGCGATACCACTGCTTGTGATCCGTTATTTCAAAAGGTACTCCATTTTCACAGCACACACTGGCCTGCAGCATGTTCCGATAAGCAACTCCAATCGTTCTATCAAAGTCGATCCTCAGTTTCCGAGGTTAATGGTTGCTTACTCTTCGCAGAGCGAGTAATTGTGCCCCCGGAATTAC